TAGACGAGTCGGCGTCTTTATGCCGCTAACTGCGCTTGCCTTTTTGTGACATGTCTAATCTGTGGCGGCGTTGTTTATAACAACCTGCGCTTGTTTTTAAGCACATGTCATTGTTAACATGCATTCCATAATAAAAAGTCTATTTTATAATTTATTAATTACCTAAACTTTATATTATACTTACTCTACCATTATGATACCTATTATTTAGGCTGGGTTGCACCGTCTTACTTTAACAAACGTCAAAAATCTGTTAACTCCATACAAAAATCACCGGTTATCGTTATAGTTACGGTCAAGGTGGTGCAACTCAGCCTAAGAGTATATTATTATAAACTTTACTGAGTGTTTTTAAGGCAATAACTTTACCATACCATAACTTTTAGAATATAAAAAGTTTAAGGTATATAAAGTAGGTAATTATTTTTGCCTTTTGATTTTAATATTACTACTAAGTATTATGGAATAGTGTCTTATATTATTACGTCTATTCTTTCAGCTCGCTATTCAACATAAAATATTATAAAGATATTTTCCTGTAAAAATATCTAAGATAATCCATGCGTAAGCGTTACCAAGTAATGTGATACCAAATAAGGCTGAGTTCCACCACCTACCTTTAACAGTAACTATAACGATAACCAGTGATTTTTGTATGGAGTTGACAGTTTTTGGACATTTGTTAAAGTCAAAGTAAGATGGCGCAACCCAGCCTAAGTGAAATTCATATAATATAATAATATATGAATGAGAAAATTACCTGCAAAATACCCAGTACTATAAAGTCCATAACAGTAACCTTTAACAATGAGCTTACCTCATTAGTCCTGTTGCTAAGTTCGCTCAAGTTTTACTCAATTAGGACGATAATGAAAGAACCACGGGGCCCACAATGGGCATCATTAGGAACCGCGGTATGACCATTCATTATTATCTGACACAATTAGTTGGAATCTGATTACTTTGGAGACAGTCTTTGACGATGTGAAATGCACTTTGAGCATAATTAATTTGGTATCTAAGGAATTAATATTATTGTGAGGAATTCTTCACTTTTGCATCTACATAACCTGTTTTTTGAGCCAAATAAAAACAATATTACACGTTATATTAATTCAGCGACTTTAGTTCGTTTACTGATCTCCTCATTTCTGATTCGATCTCGTAAAGAAACACCGAGCATAGCCCTCTCCATAGCACGCTGTGCAACGGATGACGGATCAGCAAGCTGAAGTGGCAGTGGGCAGGGCACATAGTACGGAGAACTGACGGCCTATGGGGCAGCAAGGTTCTGGAATGGAGGCTGCGTACCTACCGGAAAACGCAGCGTGGGACGCCCACCCACAAGGTAGACCGACGACCTGATAAAGGTAGCAGGAAGGCGCTGGATGCAGGTCATACCAACCGTGCGATGTGGAAGTCATTGGGGGAGGTCTATGTTCAGCAGTGGACGTCCTGTGGCTGAAATGATAATGATGATGACATTAATTCAGAACGCATGTGAATGAGTTCTTTGACTTAAGGTCCTATATTCCCTAGATGGGGCAAAGGGCGTCCACAACAGTCCTCCATCGCGTTCGGTCTTAAGCTTCGCGGCTGATCTCGCTCCAAGTCTTGCCGATTTTCTTCGCCTCGTCTGCTACAGTGCGCTGCCAAGTTTGCCTGTGGTGACAACGTTTCTTACTTGGGGGTTCCAATCNAGTTAATATTATTTTAAGGGATTCTTCACTTTTGCATCTTCATAATCTGTTTTTGTGCCAAATAAAAAAAATTACACGTTATATTAATTCAGAACGCATGTGAATGAGTTCTTTGACTTAAGGTCCCATGTCCCCTAGATGGGGCAGAGGGTGTCCACAACAGTCCTCCATCGCGTTCGGTCTTGAGCTTCGCGTTTGATCTCTCTCAGAGCCTTGCCGATTTTCTTCGCTTCGTCTGCTACAGTGCGCTGCCAAGTTTGCCTATGTAACAACGTTTCTTACTTAGGGGTTCCAATCCAAAGCCTACTTGTTGATGTGATCGAGATCCCTTCGGAGAGTGTGGCCGATCCAATTCCACTTGCAGCGCTTGATTTGCTGGTCGATCGGAATTTCGTGGCAGCGTTCCATGTGAATAGTTGAGGCAAAAGGCCCACTGGAAACCAGGGTCGTGGCCTTCCCCACCGTGGGCCACGGCATATGCTAAGTGAAGTCCCATTGCGATGGGCATCGCTGTTGCGACAGGATAGCACTGCTCAGCTCACTTTTTATTTCCTTTTAATATTTATGTGCTATTTCTGGCTATTTCTGTCTTTATTTCTGTATACGTTCTCTGTCCTTTAACTACGTGATGTTCATCGTAATAAATGTTTCTTTCTGTCTTTCTTTAAAATCATCAAGATTATCATCCAGCCACTACCAGCTTTGCCTGTAATCGTCGGTCCATCGAGCGGCAGTGCGACCTATGTCGTTTGCATAACAAATACATACTTAACAAGGCGTACTTAATTATAATTTTAACTATGCAATCAAATTAAAAACACTTTCTTACGCTTATTTTCTGTATTTATCTTTTAAACTTACTTACTTAGAAAAACATGAGTACCAGATTAGTCTTAAGCACACAACTGTAATAAGCATTGTTCGTTTTGACGAGCAAACTTAATTTATTCATTAAAATAAACGGGAGAGTACTTTTAATCCGTCTCAAATACGGCCTTAGAAGACGTTTACCCTCAAACATAATTAACCCATCTGGGTCCAATCTTAGTACTTGGTTCGTTTCAGGGTACTTTTTTCTAAATTCCTCAAGAAAACCTACCATTCTATTATATCTAAGGAAATTCACCAAAGAATTTGTCCCGTCTTAATTAAATGTTGGTACGGCACATCAAGTTAGTCATTACTGTATCTTATTTTGTTGAAATAAGAGCGTTTTTGCAACAAAAATGTTAAGTCCGATGTACCGTTGTACATAAACCTTACCCTTTGGAAAGCCTTCATTAGAGTCATTACAGGCATAATACGGTAATGCATCTGAAAAACAAAACGACACGCCATTCTAAATTCTACTACCACGCAATAAGGGCTGCGTGGACTGAAAATTGTGTGGCTGACATCAAATTTATTTGGGCCAAAATGTACAAGAGCCAACGACAAAAAAGAATGGTCTCCTCAGATTTACTTTACAAGGGCATCGTTAAACTAAATTGAGGTTAAGGTGGGCAAATACTAAAGTTAACGAGGTACAACGAAAAAGTTTCCTACAGAAGGAAATTAGGTGAATTGATTGCCTTTATAAATCACTAGCTCGAGGCGGAGGTCCTACCCATTTTTATTAGAGTTAAGGAATCTTTTACATGCAAATAACTATTTCGAAAATTTTAAATTCGTTTAATAGGCTTATCCATGTTGCTTGAAGAATAACGTTGTAAAACAAATTGTTTCTTTATTATTCTTTGTATTTTATAACACAGTTTTGATTCTATGATACAAGCGATCTTTAACAGAATGGCGGCTTTTCTCACTCATGAAAGGATAGAGTTTTTTATGATCTCATATTTTTTCTCGAAAATAATATTCTTTCTCTACATAAAAGGATTTCAATATTTTTTATACGAATAAAGTATCTAGCTCAAACATGTTGAATGTTCCAATATTTTATATGAGTTTTTATATCATTCCCCAATATCGCTAGTTGGATCGCTCGAAATATACTGTTTCATAAAATAAAATGTAAAAACCTTCCAACGTAAATCTAAATACAATTATTGTATATTTTAACTATTTTTTTTACTTACTACTTTAAAATAATGACAAACTGCTTATATTGGGTAAAATTTAATTTTTCAGTTTACATTCAAAATTATGCAGTAATGCATTATTTTGTTTACTATTTAAAATTACCCTGTTTTTGAGTTAAGATAGAATTTTTGTAAATTCAGGGAATTTTGAACAATTTGTGTACCCAAGATGACTGTGATTATGATTAATATTTTGGCAAACAATTTTCACTTTTGTTAGGTTGCTATACAAAACACAATATTGAAACATAGTAAGTATAACCATTACAGATCTCATTTCTGATTCAAAACGCCGAGGGAAGCTCTCCCTTAAAACTTCATAACACAATAATTACATGTTGTAATGTATTCCGTTCAAAGTTACGGGCACAAACAACTAAATAAGTTTACTATGTTACTATGGTCTTACATCAAACTGTAAAGTCAACGAATAAATGACTACTATTGTGTGAGAGTAAGCGTTTGTTTATTTACCTTGCCGTTGTGGGAACGTGGATACTTCCCCGTATTTGTACGCTTTGGCAAAATACGCGTGTATTCATGAATATTCTGATGACATTTTCAATTAACGGTAAATCCTGATTGTCTTTTAAAGTAGTGTGAATTACCATAAGAACATTAGTTTGAGAATATTAAACGGGTTGAATAAAAGCGTTTCAATCTTCAGGAAAAGGAAATTTAATAGTATCAGATAGATAATATGCATATCTACGCAATCAATCTTTGCTTTTATTATAATTATTTTAATAACAGTCGTATGTCTTGTCTAAACCTTAAATATTCATTAACGATCATCCACGGTACTTTTTAGAAACATGACTGCAACAAAATTAATTCTTATTGGACGGTAAATAAGCCAAACTAATTTAGATATTGAGAAAACAACACCTTGTAGAGACAAGAACTGTCGAAGAAGGCCGCTTCATAGATTTTGGTTTAAATCTTTTTTAAACACAAGGTAAAGATCACATTTTATTTTGACTAACATAGACCTAAAATTGAAAAAACGAAAGCACCAGAATACGTCTGTTTTCACTTACCTCCGCCTATTTCTTTGTCTCATACCCATTAAGAGCTCAGTGTGTATTTCTTATCCAACGATAAACGTCACTAAGTGTTAACCAAAATGATAAAAAAAGCCTTGAAGATATTATCACTTCTGGTTGTGATGTGGCTAGTGTCTTTAGTGACTATAGTGACGGAGTTTCGACCGGGAAAGATGATGATAGTGGGCGACAATCGCACTTATGACCAGGCCTTAGATATGTACAGATATAAGTACTGGAGCGATGGGGCTCCCTTTAACGAGTCCAACTTTGAAGGTATAATATTAATGTTTAAATAAATTACAGCTTTTTTCTTTGATAATAAATAATTTCTGTCTAAAATAATGTAACTTGGATCAATTAATTACGGTGTCACAGGGGTAGGTAATGTAGATGGAGCTAGGAGATGGATTATAGAAAAGGCTTGGTTTACGAATCTTCAAGCCAACTAAGTATACTTTATCATAAATAAAGATTTTTGGATGAGTTTTAGAATCTTAGTTTTGTAGCGGATGTGTGTTAAACAGAGCGTATATTCAGGCAGGATTGTGAGGTAAGTGTTTTCTATTAGATTTTTTTTTGTTTATTTTGTTACAGTTTGGCAGCTGTTAGAGCCAGTCAAAACTGTGCTATCTGTAGATGACAAACTGTCAGCGGTTAAAAGTTACGACTTACCGCCAGGTAAACTGTAACAACATTTCACTTTTCTGCGGTTAAGTCAAAGTAAATGCTGCCCGCATAATGTATGATAATATGATTACTTTGATCTGACCGCTGATCGCACCCAATGTGGCAAATCCTTCATTGTCTACAGTAAGGTTTTTAGTGCAGTAATCATCTAATTTTAATCGTGAAAATATAAATTTGTACAGGTGTTGATGGCAAGCCAGTTCTCCTAAATGAAAATCTCAAAAACTACCTCAAACATCAGGTCCAGAAAGGCTGGAAGAGTCACGCTTTCAACCAATTTGTCAGCGATATCATACCGTTGAATAGAAGTTTGCTAGACGTTAGAGATGACTGGTAAGAAAAATTATTCCAATATTACGTGTTAGAATTTGAAACTCTTAAAAATATTTACCGTGAAGAATGTTTGGGCTTTCCATAAGTCAGAACAAAAAAAGTATTATGTCCATTGCCACCGTAGCATATAAATAGTGTTATTTTGCTACAAAATATGATATTAAATTGTACTCAATTATTACGAACGACTGTTCAATCTTATGAATTGCTCTTGTAAGCTAATAATGTTTTGATTAAATTCATTTAACTGTCAAAATATATTTCTAAATGATCATTTTTTCTTCTTTTCTATCTAAAAATATCTCCAATGGGTGGGAGGTACCCTACGGGCCGTACCCAACGTAATTGGTTGTGGAAAAGTAAAATGATTTCTTCGATTTTGATCCCCATGGAGAATTTCCTTTCGTATTTAATTTCCTTTTTTTTTCAATAGCCAGTAAAATCATGAAAAAGGAATTTTATTAATTTCAAGAATATAATAATTACTTTTTTACAGGTGCAAAACACATAACTATTCAAAAGTGTTGCCACAAGCAACGATAGTGATATGCTTCCATAACGAAGCTTGGTCCACTCTGTTACGAACTGTCTACTCCGTTCTAAACAGGTCACCTGATAAGCTTGTGAAGGAAATAATTTTATATGATGACTTTTCTTCGATGGGTAAGTCTTTTCTTTCATTATCCTGGCTATACAGGAGTTGCAGCAGTGTGAATGAGAAGTGAGAATAGTCCCATTTTCATTCATTACATTCTTCAGTAGATTTAGCATGGATACACTTAGTAGATTTAGTTAGGGTTACGGGAAACCGCTGGATGCAAATGGCATAAAACTCTTCGTTGTTACGTTCTATGAGGAAAGCCTATGGCTAGTTATTTAATTAAACTGCTGCTTTGATCAGATATTATTTCATAGTTACAAGTAAATCTTAAAATATCGTAGATCATCTGCTGAAGCCATTAGAAGAATATGTACGGACCTTGCCGAAGGTGAGGCTACTACGAGCGCGTCGTCGTGAAGGCCTTATCAGGGCTAGAATGATTGCCATAAAAGATGTGACCACCCCTGTCATTGTCTATTTGGATAGTCACTGCGAAGCTACTGAAGGTATGATATAAATTATAGTTTTTTTAGTCTAGAATCTTGATGGTCTTTATGCATTTCTCTAAAGCAACTAAGATGATGCAGCGACCCAAAGTGAGTCTTGGCCTCCACAATAATGATCACCATTAGGTCTGTTTTGCTCCATCTCTGACCAGTTCTTATCAGATTTATTGTCTCCAGGTTGGCTAGAGCCCTTACTGGAACGCGTAGCCAAAGACTCAACAAAAATCGCCAGCCCAGTTGTGGACTACATCCATGACACCACTTTCGAGTACATAGCTCAAGACATCCATGAGCTACAAATCGGCGGCTTCAATTGGAACTTGAAGTTCCAATGGAACAGTGTACCTGGTGACGTGTTGCTAAAGAGAAAAGATATAGCAGCTCCTATCAAAACGCCTGTTATATCTGGGGGTCTTTTTGCTATCAGCAAGGATTGGTTCAAAAAATTAGGGTACTATGATGACGGCTTCGAGATTTGGGGAGCTGAAAATCTGGAATTGTCGTTCAAAACGTGGATGTGTGGAGGTTCTTTGGAGATTGTGCCATGTTCACACGTGGGACATGTATTCAGGAAGAAATTCCCTTACAAGGGACAGAAGGGATCCTTGATCAGAAATTCTGTGAGGCTAGCTGAGGTATGTAATCAAATCGTATAAGATGTTTTTTACTGGAGCACCCTTTTATTTGATTTAAGGGTTCGATTGGAAAATATCTAAATATTATAGCGATATTTTTTTTATTAATGTTATCTTTTGAAACGAGAACTTACTTATTATGCTCCGATTATGTATCCCCAAATATAATGTACAAAATAGGTATTCTTCCTATTTTTTTCACTCTTATTTGTACATTTCAGGTGTGGATGGACGACTACGCCCAATATTATTACGAAACTATTGGGAAACAAAAGATTGACTATGGCAACGTTTCATCTCGCGTAGAACTACGCAAGAAGCTCCAATGTAAATCCTTCCAGTGGTATTTGGAAAATGTATACCCTCAGCTGGACATACCTGAGAACTTAGTGGCTAGTGGCCAGGTATGTACTTGGAGATTTTTTAAATGTATAATTAACATAAAATAGGTATACAGGGTGTATGAAAAGGTCACGTCAAGATTAAGATGTATCAATAAGATGAATTTTGAAAAAACTGAAATGGTCAAATTCTTAGTTGGGTCTATAAACATCATTTCAGGCCTTTACTCGTATACATAATAAAAGTATACGAGTATAGCTACGAGTGTAGCTGCTACAGAACAATATTCAAACTCTAAATTGCTTGAATCAATCGCAACATTTTTTTTTGTTTAAATTATGCACATTATTAGCTAATGTCAAGTAAATTATACTTCAAGTAATTAGAAATCAGTTAATAACTAGTTTTAGTATAGATACTTAGAGCATTGCTTTCTAATACAGACTGAAAACTCCGACCTAAACAAAAGATTTAGCAGATTATCAACATCTAACCTCTGATCAAAATTATTCGCCATAAAGTTAAAGCGTAGGTTAATAGCGACCCGAGGAATGTTATTTACTGCGGCATCAATATTCATTAAAGTAATAGCCTATTTATTGTCCCGTTGCCGATCAAATCCTGTGGAGTCTCGTTTTATCTCAGCCTTTGCATACTTTTATTTAAATTCACTTGTTCGATAGTATGCATTGCATACTATCTGAGGTGTTAGGCTTTGTACTAGTGAAAGTTCACTATTTCATCTACTCCTAAATTGAATGGAGAGAAGACTATGCTTATAGTATGCATAGCTATAGGTGTCAAGCATTTTCTTTTTCAGTTCTCATTGAGTATCAATATATTTTCAGATATACAGTGAGAGTAATTTGGCTGGGTGTCTAGATGCATCCGTAGATCTTACTGAGAACAATCATTGGGGGATCGGCTTTTATCCGTGCCACGGGCAAGGTGGTAACCAGGTGATGAAATTTCTTTTACTTAATTAACACAACTAAGTCTGGGTTCACCACCTACAAGGTGAACCGACAACCTTATAAAGGTAGCAAGAAGGCCTCTACTAACCGGGTCATGTGGAAATTATTGTGGGAGGCCTATGTTCAGCAGTGGGCGTCCTATGACTGAAATGATGATGATGGAAAATTGGTAAAGGTCACGAGAAGAACCTGGATGTGGGCAGCGCAGGACCGTGCATTGTGGAAAACCTTGGAGGAGGCCTTTGTCCAGCAGTGGACGTCATTTGGCTGAAACGAACGATGAATAATTGAGAAATAACATTAAAATCAGTACAAGTAGTGATATTATAATTCATGCTTATCCTATTCCAGTATTGGACATACTCTCCTGATGGTGAAATCAAACGGGAGGACAAGTGTTTAGATTACATATTTTCTATAGTAACCCTATATATTTGTGGCGGCCGCTCGCAAGTTTGGATCTACGATACTAAGGTAACTAAGATTTCATTTTCTGATTGCTTGGAGTTAATTCAAAATACTGTTTGTAATAAATATAAAATATATAAAATAAGAAACCTTTGAGACACTGACTGATCTTATCAACGCAAATCGTATAGTTGGGTCAAAAAACTCCAAATTTAGCCTGTAGGGGTATGCTAAGAAAGGATCTACAAAAATTCACCCCTGAAACGGGGTTCCAGATTCCACGCAATAGAAGCCACGGGCAAAAGCTAGTTCTCAATTTTTTTAAGCAATAACTTTCAAGTGTTTCAAAGGCCTAAGTAGGGTTTTTTCTGAATTAAATGTGGGTGAAACCGCGGGCACAGCTTGTGTATGATATCTACCATTGATTATTTGCTTAATTAAAATACATTTCACAGAAAAGTTCACTGTATTAATTAATGTCCGATTCTTCTCTATGTAAATATTCAGATGCTTGCATTACATTATGTTGTTATTGTTTTCAGACGAAACACATTCGGCATATGGACACACAGAAGTGCTTGCAGGTGGCCAAGTTTTCTGAAGGATTGAGACTGATTTTGGAGAAATGTTCTACTTCTAGCGCTCAGATGTGGGTGGTAGAGAACTTTATAGTCGACAGACTTGCACCGGAGTTGCAGGTTTATTCTAAAAGACATTGATTTAACCTTCGGAAGGCAACAGGGGTGACTGGTCACCCCACCAGTTCAAAAAAGTCTTGATACGTTTAGTTGCTGATGTTGTGTCTTTCTGTCGTTTGGTCTATTCTCTAATTGGAGGGAAAGCTATCAGTCGCATTCGTCAACATATAGCGTTTGGTTCCTGTTTTTGATATTTTGACACTGCTGGGGTGACTCATCACCCCTGTTGCCTTTTACGTATACTTTATTTTTTCGTATTGCTAAAGTAAATGATTGGTTTTGGAGTAAAATGGCTTTGTTTTCGGATGGTCAAATGGAAAAATACATTTATAGACTTGCTGATGTCAATTCCTATGATAAACGCTGCTCAGATGATAATAAGATTTCCAAAATTGAAGATAATATCTCAGTTCAGTCGGAGGAGGAAGGCTTTATTTCCAATAGCGAAAAATTGTTACGACGATGACGTTCTACTAGCACAATTCGAACATAACGTGCTACTACGTAAGAACGGACATGTTTGGTCTTCTTGGTTCTATCACCTTGGAGTCAAACATCACGACGAAATATAGTAACTGTTGCGAGAGATACAAGAATTTATTATAGAGCAATTACACATGACATTCTAAATATGAACTAGGGACCTCCTGAGGGTGCACCTTTAGCAAAGTTACAGAAGCAGGCAAGGTGAGTGCTGTGTCAAAGAAAACTAGACAAAAAAGTTAAGACATCTCGTATAAAATGTCAACTACCATCATGCCCTCAACATCGCAAAGATATTTGCTTTAACTGTGCTTAATGTTAAAAAAATATTTATTCAAATATATAAACTGTTAAATGAAAGCATTTTTAGTTTTATAATGAAACAAAGTAATAGATCTTAACATTAATTAGTTTGATTTTTCATCACAAAGCTATTTATTTCAAATTGAATTTGTGGGGTGACTGGTCACCCCTGTTGCCTTTTACGTATACAAAAAAAGTGTTGCCTGCCGAAGGTTAAAATGAAGGATTTTGGTATGGAGATAATATCTATTTTTCTTGTATTATAATATACCTGCCTTGATATGCATACAAATACTTTTAAACTAAATAACCAGAAATAAATAGGCATCGATTATAAGAAAATAAAAACAGTATGAAATAAAAGTTTTATTGTTAAGTGAACAGTTATATTTTAATTTTAAACCAAGCCCAGCAGCTAATATTTACATGTTATTAAAATTACTTTGTTTGTATTAAAACAAATAAATAAAAGTAAAATAGTTGAATCGTGATTTAGTTCCTAAAAAAATTATGTGGATAAATCTTGCAACAAAAACTGGCGTAAAATTCAAAAAATTTGGACCGTAAATAATATTTTGCATTATATTTAAGTCGGTCAAAGGGCACTTTGTGACGTGTCCCTTCCCTAACACACAACCGCAGAAAGGTGGGCCATATTTTGCGTTCCAGTAAAGTATTCCCGCAAAGGATTTTGTCCTTTGTACCCATGACGAATGGTCACCGCAGCGAATTTTAAATAAAGATTCATATTCTGTTTTGTACGGTAACGTTGTTGATTATACGATAATGACGTTGAAAAAATATTGTATAAAAAGTTACAAAAAAACTTCATCATCATCATCATCATCAACAGCCCTTTACAGTCCACAAAAAAAAATACTTTACCCTAATTAAGATCATCACGTTTTGAATACCTACTTCAATATTATGTAGACCAGATAAAATATCAATAAAAGATAATTGAAAAACTAAAACCTAACTCTAGTCGGTCAAAGGGCACTTTGTGACGTGTCCCTTACCTAACACCCAACCTCAGAAAGGTGGGTGGTGATTGATTTTATCAATTGATTGAAAATTATTTATAAATAACGGTTTAGTCTCATAGTAAAAAAACATTCTTAAACAAAATAAACGCCATAACATATTTCCATAAAATATTTTAAAAATACGAAAATAGTAATAAAAAGCGGACCATTTTTCATTGGCCTGCAAAAAGTCAGCCACTAAAATCCTACGTAATCCGCGAGAGGTAAAAGGCGAAAACTGAACAAAATAGCACCGAAATATTTTGCTTTATTTCCACAATCACCTTAAGCTACAGATAAAGCGCCAAAAAGGTAATAAAAGTAGCCCGAGGTCCTGTTTTAGGTGGTAAAATTTAGGTTAATAATGCTCGAAAAATGCCAGTAAGTAGGTACTATGGAAAAACAAAATAAAAGCTAAGTGAGAGTCGGACTCGATTACGAATAGTTGAAATAATAATAATAATAAATAAGTATCCTTGGACATTTTACACTGCACTTCTTCTTTCAAGCTTGTACTATGGGTACTAGACAACGGTAAATTTAATACCATGCATCCTATGTGTTACGGTTTAGAGATTGTCCAAATGACGCGTTTTTACTCGCGCGTTTCGAATCGCGCGATATTGAGACATCCATCCACATGCAGTCGCGCGTTTTTATAGCCAAAATATTTTATTCTCTAACTACTTTCGTAAATCGAACTGAAATGAAAAACGTCGAAAAACAAATCGATACTTTTTTTTATTGGTCAGTTGGTAGTGGACAGTGCGCACTCACTGCTCATCCACCGCCTTCCTGCTACCTTTATGAGGTCGTGTAAACCTCCTACGCTGCGCTGGCCTTCACTCCAGAATCTTTCTGTCCCATCGCTCATTCTAAGCTCGCTACTCCCTATCCGACCTGCAACGGCTGGCTTCCGTCTAAATTATGACATCTACCACACTGCCGACACATTATGTACACGCCCTAAGTCTGTAAGTCTGTGTAATTGCCGTATTTATCATTATAACAAACAGAGCTTATGACCGTGAGCGAAATTAATTTCAGTTTGCTCTGGAGATAAAATTAACGATGAATTATGTTTGGTGCCTTTATTTCATTAATGGGCATTATTTTGGCATGATTAACGGTCGTTTACCTTTGAATTGTGAAGATAAGGAGTAAATATTGCTTTGAAAGATTTTAATTAATCTGTAAGTCGTAGATCAGAATAAACAAATTCATATTAAATAAAGGTATAATTATTAAGTTTACGTAATTATTTTTTACTGCAGATATTTATTTTACAGTCCGTACGTTGAGTTTGGCAAACCTATATCGATGGCTCCTACGTATACTGGCGTAAGTGAAAAAAATAGATTTTACAGGAGAGCCATTTAAGTGGCCAGACCCATATTTTTGGGTCATATCTTCTGACCTACTGAAACGAATTTAATGAAATTTCACATTTAGCCTTAACANACTAAATATATCGATATTTTTTTTTTATTAATGTTATCTTTTGAAACGAGAACTTACTTATTATGCTCCGATTATGTATCCCCAAATATAATGTACAAAATAGGTATTCTTCCTATTTTTTTCACTCTTATTTGTACATTTCAGGTGTGGATGGACGACTACGCCCAATATTATTACGAAACTATTGGGAAACAAAAGATTGACTATGGCAACGTATCATCTCGCGTAGAACTACGTAAGAAGCTCCAATGTAAATCCTTCCAGTGGTATTTGGAAAATGTATACCCTCAGCTGGACATACCTGAGAACTTAGTGGCTAGTGGCCAGGTATGTACTTGGAGATTTTTTTAATGTATAATTAACATAAAATAGGTATACAGGGTGTATGAAAAGGTCACGTCAATATTAAGATGAATTTTGAAAAAACTGAAATGGTCAAATTCTTAGTTGGGTCTATAAACATCATTTCAGGCCTTTACTAGTATACATAATAAAAGTATACGAGTATAGCTACGAGTGTAGCTGCTACAGAACAATATTCAAACTCTAAATTGCTTGAATCAATCGCAACATTTTTTTTGTATAAATTATGCACATTATTAGCTAATGTAAAGTAAATTATTTTAAGTAATTAGAAATCAGTTAATAACTAGTTTTAGTATAGATACTTAGAGCATTGCTTTCTAATACAGACTGAAAACTCCGACCTAAACAAAAGATTTAGCAGATTATCAACATCTGACCTCTGATCAAAATTATTCGCCATAAAGTTAAAGCGTAGGTTAATAGCGACCCGAGGAATGTTATTTACTGCGGCATCAATATTCATTAAAGTAATAGCCTATTTATTGTCCCGTTGCCGATCAAATCCTGTGGAGTCTCGTTTTATCTCAGCCTTTGCATACTTTTATTTAAATTCACTTGTTCGATAGTATGCATTGCATACTATCTGAGGTGTTAGGCTTTATACTGGTGAACGTTCACCATTGATCTATTCCTAAATTGAATAGAGAGAAGACATGCTTGCATTATGCATGGCTATTATACAGGGTGTTGATTTCAATACTCGGCATAATTAGGGAGTTGATTATGTAACTTATTCTGATCACGAATCAGTAAAAAAATTGACTTCGAAAAAAATTTAAAACGAACTTTAACTTTAGTGAGTCAAAGAAAAATACCTATTTACACTACCTACTTTACGTAGCTTCCTTCAGTAGGCTATCCGACATGATAAGCGAGCGATGCGCGTAGCTCGATGGTGCCGCAGTGTAAAACTATTGCAGTTTTGCGAGCCACAGTATAGTTAATTTCACACAGAAAATATTCGCTAAAAGTTCCACTTTCATTTGTAATTTTTTTTTGGTGGATAATACGTTTATATAAGTCATAATATCACCTAAATAAATATGGCGAGGATTGAAATCAACACCCAGTATAGGTGTCAAGCATTTTCTATTTCAGTTCTCATTGAGTATCAATATTATTTTCAGATATACAGTGAGAGTAATTTGGCTGGATGTCTAGACGCATCTGTAGACCTTACTGAGAACAATCATTGGGGGATCGGCTTTTATCCGTGTCACGGGCAAGGTGGTAACCAGGTGATGAATTTTCTTTTACTTAGGTAGGTACTTATATAGCACAACGTAGGTACTTATAAGTCTCTGTTCACCACCTACAAGGTGAACCGACAACCTCATAAAGGTAGCAAGAAGGCCTCTACTAACCGGGTCATGTCGAATTGGAAAGGCCTATGTTCAGCCGTGGGTGTCCTGTAACTGAAATGATGATGATGATAAATTTAGGAATAATATTAAAATCAGTATAAGTAGTGTTATCATAACTTTATGCTTATCCTATTCCAGTATTGGACATACTCTCCTGATGGTGAAATCAAACGGGAGGACAAGTGTTTAGATTACATATTTTCTATAGTAACCCTATATATTTGTGGCGGCCGCTCGCAAGTTTGGGTCTACGATACTAAGGTAACTAAGATTTCATTTTCTGATTGCTTGGAGTTATTTCAAAATACCGTTTGTAAATATAAAATATATAAAATAAGAAACTGACTGATAAATTATCAACGCAAATTGTAAAGTTTGGGTCTAAAAACTCCTTTAGCCCGTAGGGGTACGCTAAGAAAGGATCTACAAAAATTCACCCCTGAAACGGAGTTCCAGATTCCACGCAAGAGAAGCCACAGGCAAAAGCTAGTTCTCAATATTTTTAAGCAATAACTTTCAAGTGTTTCAAAGGCCTAAGTAGGGTTTTTCCTCAATAAAATACGGATGAAACCGCGGGCACAGCTTGTGTATGATATTTACCATTGATTATTTGCTTAATTAAAATAAATTTCACAGAAACGTTCACTGTATTAATGAATGTCCGATTCTTCTCCATGTAAATATTCAGATGCTTGCATTACATTATGTACTTATTGTTTTCAGACGAAGCACATTCGGCATATGGACACGCAGAAGTGCTTGCAGGTGGCCAAATTTTCTGAAGGATTGAGACTGGTCTTAGAGAAGTGTTCTACTTCTAGCGCTCAGATGTGGGTGGTAGAGAACTTTATAGTGGACAGACTTGCGCCGGAGTTGCAGGTTTATTCTAAAAGACATTGATTTAAAATGAACGATTTTGGTATGGAGATAATATCTATCTTTCTTGTATTGGCTGGTTTTAGTGTCACGCGGACGGTCCAGTGCGGATCCACTCCACAAAGCCGATCTGTATAAACTTCTAGGGAGCGTTTTAGCGTAATAATGCGGTCTGCAGGAACCGCTGGCTCCCTAGCAGTTCATACGTATCGGCTGTGCGAAGCGATCCGCACAGACGGTCCGCGTGACACTAAAACCAGCCTTATAATATACCTGCCTTGTTATACATAAAAAATACTTTTAAACAAAATAACCAAAAATAAATAGGCATCGACTAAGTATAAGAAAATAAAAAACAGTATGAAATAAAAGTTTTGTTGTTAAGTGAACAGTTATTTAATTGTATACCTAGCCCCAAAAGGTATTATTTACATGTTATTAAAATTACTTTGTTTGTAAAACAAATAAATAAAAGTAAAATAGTTGAATCGCGATTTAGTTCCTAAAAATCGTGCAACAAAAACTGGCGTAAAATTCAAAAAATTTGGACCGTAAATAATATTTTACATTATATTTAAGTCGGTCAAAGGGCACTTTGTGACGTGTCCCTTCCCTAACACCCAACCGCAGAAAGGTGGGCCATATTTGCGTTCCAGTAAAGTATTCCCGCAAAGGATTTTGTCCTTTGTACCCATGACGAATGGTCACCGCAGCGAATTTTAAATAAAGATTCATATTCTGTTTTGTACCTACGATAACGTTGTTGATTATACGATAATGACTGTGAAAAAAGATTGTATAAAAAGTAAAAAAAAAAATTACTTTACCTTACTAATAAGAATCATCCATCATGTCTTGAATACCTACTTAAATACTATGTAGACCAGATAAAATATCAATAAAAGATAATTGAAAAACTAAGCTAAATCTAACTCTACTGGCTCATATCACATGATTGAAAATTATTTGTAAATAACGGTTTAGTCTAATAGAAAAAAACATTCTTGAACAAAATAAATGCCATAATACACTCAGCGGCACGGAATTTGGCCCAAGCCTAAACACCCAGATATGAGGCCAAATAGGTGTTGTATACCTAATTTTCGTGTGACATGTTAACAGAACATTTGTTTTTGTTAATTTAAGAGGCTAGATTAATAAGAAAATGTGTCTGTTTAACTTTTTTGACTCTAGAAACGCATTTCGTTGTTGGAGCGTAAAGATTACGGGTAAGTTTAAATTCGATATTCAATGTTGTAAGGGCGTTTGGCGTTTTGTTTTTTGTTTTTAAATTAATCTTAGGGTTATTCTCGATTCCATAATTTGAGAATAATGCCTATTACTCCAGCTCAAGTTGCTCAAATAGTGTTGCTTAGAAGTCAAGGGCGTATGCAGCGGGAGATGGCTGAAACTTTCAATTTATGGCGTACAAACTTCAGATACACGTTAAAAAGGCATGACCAGACCGCCATTTACACAAGTAGACCAAGAAGTGGGGAATTAAGGTGTATTTCAGCGCGCGATGATCCGATTATCGTGCTTGCAATATCAAGAAATCGGGTTCTCACTAGGTTTGACATACGCCAGCGTTTACAAACAGCAAGCTCAGTGAATGTCAGTGAGCACACAATAAGAAGAAGGATGGAAGAACGTAACCTGCATATTCGAAGACCAGCTCGAGGACCAGAACTTCTCCGATACCTTCGCGAAGTGCGACTGACGTTTTCTAAAGAACATGCAAATTGGACGTTAGACTAATGGAGTTAAACTCTTTATGAAAACTGTCTGTTTGCGTAGTAATTCTTCTCCGCACCTTCTCTTTACACTTCCACGGCCGTCTGGAGCTCTTAAGGTGACTCTGCAATCACCGATCCATAGAACTTTACTCCATTAGCCTTGCGTCCAATTTGCATGTTCTCTAGAAAACGTCAGCCGCACTTCGCGAAGGTATCGGAGAAGTTTTGGTCCTCGAGCTGATCTTCGAGTATGCAGGTTATGATTCTCCATCTTTCTTCTTATTGTGTGCTCACTGACATTCACTGGGCTTGCTATTTGTAAACACTGGCGTATCTCAATCGTAGTGAGAACCCGGTTTCTTGATATTGAAAGTACGATAATCGGGTCATCGCGCGCTGACATACACCTTAATTCCCCACTTCTTGGTCTTCTTGTGTAAATGGCGGTCTGGTCATGCCTTTTTAACGTGTATCTTAAGTTTGCACGCCATAAATTGAAAGTTTCAGCCATCTCCCGCTGCATACGCCCTTGACTTCTAAGCAACACTATTTGAGCAACTTGAGCTGGAGTAATAGGCATTATTCTCAAATTATGGAATCGAGAATAACCCTAAGATTAATTTAAAAACAAAAAACAAAACGCCAAACCCTTACAACATTTAATATCGAATTTAAACTTACCCGTACTCTTTACGCTCCAACAACGAAATGCGTTTCTAGAGTCAAAAAAGTTAAACAGACGCATTTTTATATTAATCTAGCCTCTTAAATTAACAAAAACAAATGTTCTGTTAACATGTCACACGAAAATTAGGTATACAACACCTATTTGGCCTCATATATGGGTGTTTAGGCTTGGGCCAAATTCCGTGCCGCTGAGTGTATATGTATTTCCATAAAATATTTTTTTAAATACGTAAAGACTCTTGAAAATAGTAATAAAAAGCGGACCATTTTTCATTGGCCTGCAAAAAGTCAGCCACTAAAATCCTACGTAATCCGCGAGAGGTAAAACGCGAAAACTGAACAAAATAGCACCGAAATATTTTGCTTTATTTCCACATTCACCTTAAGCTACAGATAAAGCGCCAAAAAGGTAATAAAAGTAGCCCGAGGTCCTGTTTTAGGTGATAAAATTTAGGTTAATATTGCTCGAAAAATGCCAGTAAGTACTATGGAAAAACAAAATAAAAGCTAAGTGAGAGTCGGACTCGATTACGAATAGTTGCAAGATTTAATAAATAATAATAATAATAAATAAATATCCTTGGAAATTTACACTGCACTTCTTCTTTCAAGCTTGTACTATGGGTACTAGACAACGGTAAATTTAATACCATGCATCCTATGTATTACGGTTTAGAGCTCTAAATTACGCGTTTTTACTCGCACGTTTCGAATCGCGCTATATTGAAACATTCCATCCACCCACATGCAGTCGCGCGTTTTCATATCCAAAATATTTTATGCTCTAACCACTTTCGTAAATCGAACCGAAATAAAAAACGGCGAAAAACAAATCGGTACTTTTAATTTCTTTTTTTTTATTGGCCAGTTGGTAGTGGACAGTGCGCATCCACCACCTTCCTGCTACCTTTATGAGTTCGTGTATCCACCTTGTAGGTAAACGTCCTACGCTGCGCTGGCCTTCACTCCAGAATCTTTCTGCCCCATCTAGGGTTGCCAGATGTTCGGAATTAGCCGGACATGTTTGGCTTTTTACGGTCTTGTCTGGCCAAATATTGTTTTGTCCGGCTTTTGTTTAGGATTTTATGTGGCTGCCACGCCAGGCTAAAGTCGAGTCACAGAATAATATCAAGCGCACGACATCAGGCAGCTGGGCAACAACCGATGATGATAGTACTCACTCGTGAGCTATGACACTGATTGCATAGTTAGTTAGAGATATTTGCGGCTTTTAGGGTAAAATGTCCGGCCAAATGAAGCACGGAGTCCGGCTTTTGTGTTTTTGGACCTGGCAACCCTAGCCCCATCGCTCATTCTAAGCTCACTACTCACTATCCGACCTGCAACGGCTGGCTTCCGTCTAAATTATGACATCTACCACACTCCCGACACATTATGTACACGCCCTAAGTCTGTAAGTCTGTGTAATTGCCGTATTTATCATTATAACAAACAGAGCTTATGACCGTGAGCGAAATTAATTTCAGTTTGCTCTGGAGATAAAATTAACGATGAATTATGTTTGGTGCCTTTATTTCATTAATGGGCATTATTTTGGCGTGATTAACGGTCGTTTACCTTTGAATTGTGAAGATGAGGAGTAAAAATATTGCTTTGAAAGATTTTAATTAATCTGTAAGTCGTAGATCAGAATAAACAAATTCATAGTAAATAAAGGTTTAATTATTAAGTTTACGTAATTATTTTTTACTGCAGATATTTATTTTACAGTCCGTACGTTGACTTTGGCAAACCTATATAGCAAACTGTAAAAAAAAAAAATTAAAAGACCTTATTTATTTAAGTTCTCTGTTCAGATCTTTATAAAAATAATAATCAGTTTCAGTAGATTTTTACTTAATTTCTAAAAAAAAATCTGTTTGAAAGTATTCGATTCTCATTAAAACTATTGTTTTCAGTCCTATCAATCTTACTTGCTCTGTATCTTTAATTTAATTTCGTATCCTAATACTTGAAAAAATATAAGTACCTATTTGTGCTTTTCTAAATATTTGCTTACTCCATTCACTTTCAGCACCCCTTGAAAATAAATCATCTGAGAGCATGACCTCTTTACAATTTATTATCTACTTCATTACGAATAATTTACGACACGGTCGCAAACGATTTGTTAAGCGACGTGATGTATCAGCTGTTTTAAAGTAGGTCGGCGATAAATTGCGCAGTCGCCGTTTTGCGACTTTCTATTGACGTCAAATCTAGCGATGAGTATTTTTAACACATTGTTGCAAGCATCGGTGGTTCAGTGGTAGAATGCTCGCCTGCCACGCGGGCGGCCCGGGTTCGATTCCCGGCCGATGCAATGTTTTTTTGTTTTTCTTTTTTCCTTTTATAAAATGGATTTAAATGTTGATTAATTTGATAAAAATACCTAGCTAGGGTCTGTTTTTTATTTGTAGTTGAATGTAAAAATTATATAACTGAACAGTTATGAAATTATTGTACAAACCAAATACGTCGGGTAATAATAATAGTGACTGAGTTTCTTGCGCTGCTTCTTCTCAGCACTGCACATTTATTGTCTTGAAGCAGTGGTAGGGTTAATACTGGGACGTGTAAAAGTGCTTTTTTATAGCCTAT